TAGTGAGGGGGGAAAGGGAGAAAAAGAAGAGAGGGGGGAAGGAGGGAGGGAGGGAGACAAAGATTATACAGTCAGGGTCTAAATGTGCCCGTCATTAAAAATTAAGTGGCAGACTACAGCATGCAAGGAGTATTAGCAAAACAACGGGGAAGAGACAATTGCACAGGCTGACGAACCCGGACCATGCAGTGTGACGGGGCAGGCGGGGGGGGAGCTGGCAGCAATCGGCCGGAATGCTCCAAGCCAGGCTGGCTGCCAGCAGCAAAATACACCAGCCCTCTCACCTCCAGTGGCACCCCTGAGGATCACTGGCCTCCTCTGGGCAAGGATAACGATCCGGAGTACCCCGCAAAGCACCGCAGGCCAAGAGAGAGGACATGAGAGCAAGGTGCTCTGTGCTGAGCTCTCAGCTCAGGACAGCTGGAGTCAAACCACAGCCTCTCTGAGCACCTGTCACATCTTGAGCCAGTTAGCTCAGGCCCTATGCAGTTCGGTGCTAAAAAAATGCAGAAATCCTGAACTGCTCTAAAACACATCGAGAGCAAGCTCTAAACAGGAGTACTGCTGAGACCCTTCCCCTCCACATGCTCTGGTATCCAAGACTAGCAATGAAAAAACTTAGAGGAAGAACTGAGGTTTCCTAGGGAAACTTCCCCAGAAGGAAATCTTTAGACATCTGCAAAAGAGAGTTAGCTTGGAAAAGAAAAGTTATACATGCAACACATACACGTTAAGCAGAAAAAGAAAGGAAAGGCAGGGAAAAGCTGACTAAGGGAAGGAGCAATGGGAAAGCAGCAGGCAATATTTTCGTCTACTTGTCCTGTTTTGCACAAATTAAGTTGTTTCTCTGAAACTGTAAGCCCATATTCCTCTTAAAAATTAAACCAATAATTGCATGACACAAGTTTATAAACATTCTCCTGATACAAAGTGGTCTGGCTACAAGCCAAGTTGTGAATTTCACAGGGCACAACACAAACATGCATTAGGAACACACCACCACCATGGCAACTGACCACACCGGATACCTACACCTTATTAGTAGATACTTTGCAACCAGTTAGCACAATTATGCTCATGTGCACTGTAACAACAGGTTAGCATGTCACTTTGTTCTAAACACAGGTGCACAAAGTGTCTCTATGTGCAGAACTCCACCAAAAGAATGAGAGTCAGAAACAACAGTGATTTTAACACACACACACAGGGTGTGCCTCTACCTGTCACATTAGATCTGGAAGGCAAAAAGTATTAACAGTTCTGGAACTAAATCAAGGTGTTCACATTACAAAACAGGAGAGAAACCCTGATCTCTTGCAAGCGTTAGTTAGAATTACCATTCTCCCAATCACCCAGGTTAATGAACTTCCAAGTAGCACCACCTGACCTTAATTGTGCCCAGTATAAGGCACCAGGGGTGTGCTGCCCTTAGTTGTGCTGAGCTTCACTTTTGACACCTGAGACAGCAAAAGGCAACAGGAAAAATAAAAGCGGCATAAAACAGATGGAGAGGGAGATGAAGGCATAACAGAATAGCTGCTCCTGAATGGCAAGACCTTGGAGAACCTTGGGTTAAAGCACATCAAGTGGGGCCATGCTTTGATGCTTGTTGTAGCATCCCATGTGAACTAATGTGTTCAAAATCTAATAGGGAAAATGAGACATAATGAGATCTTCACTGCCCTACTGTGAACAACATGAACAGATGAATAAAGTAATCTTTGGGCAAAAAACAATCTTTTAAAATATGAAGTGGATAATCTGCATTTTAGGAAACATTTTTAAAAAATTCTGGATATATTTGAAAGAGGGAGGCGTTTTCCTCATACCCATTGAAGACAGTCATTTTCACAGGGAGCAAATTAAACGGTCAGTACAAAGAGAAGACTATTTTGTATCTCAGGAGAGGGAGCCCCTCCTATCTCCACCCAAACAAATTAAATGTCCACATCCAGATACATACTCGTTGATACTCTGTATATAGAAAAAACTTGAAAGAGATCTTTGTCCTTATTAACTACATCACGTCCTTCTGTGGATCTTGAGAAATTACTTACTGCAGACTAGCAACTCGTATTTGCAACATGCATCTTCATGACTACCTGGAATTGTCAGAACTGCCATAAAAGTAATAGAATTTACTTTTTCAAATATCAACTGTGTTTTTTTCCTTTCTTGCCACGAGGTTTAACATTTCCCACTGCCAGTCTGATTTACTAGTTATTCAGGTTCCCTGGGCCAGACCTGCACTGTAGTTTCACTGAGGGTAAATTTGTCACCGATTCACTCAGAAGTTTTTAAGGTGGCTTCAAATGCTAACTTCACACAGTTCATTTCATTCGGATTCTTTGGAAGTTTTAGGGCAATCCATTTACCTGTGTTATGCATGAGGTAAAGAAACATCTTTTCTTGGATGTGTGCACCAAAGGGAATTCAAACCAGTGAAATCTTGAAACATGGATGGCCCTCAACAGGAAGGAGTCTGACTTATTTTATTTTTAAAATGGCTTTAATCAGGTAACATAAAAATTCTTGGGGTTTATTTAAATGGGCAATAGCCAGCAGCACTATGGACTTGATAAGAACAACAGTGACCTCATTGTGGTAAGCTCTCAGACAGTGTAGCAGCAGGATTTTTACACTGAAACCAAAACTTGACGAAACAGTAACATTACCATTCTCACAGCAGTACCTTCACCTCTGTCAGACACCTGCTAGCAAGTGTCCCACCCTGCAGAAATGATGCCTATACACAAGCCATCTGCTGCCAAATATGCACCAGGTGTTGCACTCATGTAGAAAAACTTGGATCACAATTTAGCAAGCCACACTGCTGAACTGTGTACTATATTATTACTGGAATAAATTTCCAAGCCTGCAGGCACTGCAGAAAAGGTATGAACCCCAAAGAATGCAGCCATGTCAGCCTCACATTGTCACATGTGCCTTCTTATTTGAAATTGGGACCTTTTCACCTTGTTTTAAGTTATTTACCTGAAGCACCACTGCCAGGCATAGTCACCCATGGGTTTAGTTTTAAGAAGCTTGCTACCTTGGACCTGGGGTCTGGGGAAGATTCAGAACTGAGAGAAGACAAGACAGCTTCTCACAGCATCTCGCCAATGTAATTCCACACATAGCTGCCACAGTTAATAACGACGCCAAGGCTGTTCAGGAACCTGGGGACTCCTTTAAGCCTGGCAACAAACCAGCTTAAGTGGAATTTCTGCTGTGTTTGGAAGTCTTTGCCAGGAGCTACACCAGTCAACTACCACAGAAAGGGCAGAACACTAAACCAAATCACAACAGAACTGAGCCCCAGGCTCAACGGGTTACAATCTTATGCAACTCTCTACCAGCAACAGGAGACACGGAGTCTTACTGAATCCACAACTGCAGTCAATGTCAGTATTTTTGTTTTGACTGTATCTGAGGTTACTGTTTCCATTTCCAACTAATGTAACAGAAAACATTTGAGTAAAAACTACTGAAGTACTCTTAAGTAGAGAAACCTGCCTTCAGGTCTCAATTACTCACATCTTTAAAATGGAAAGATGTGGCTACTTAACTGGAGAAAGATCTTAGTGAAAGAATTTCATTCAACTTGTTACAGCTCATCTTTTTATTTTGTCTTCATTCAACATCAGTTAATAGGACTCTATGAGAAGGTCTGTATCATGCCTTCAAAGAACAGAGGGCTTCTCTGCACACAAATAAAAGCAAGAACAAAAGGTTCCAGGGCTGAATTCCCTGAAAAAGTGAATCCTGAGAAAACAATTATATAGCAGTGTAAATCAATAATGTAAGAGTAAAAAAAAGAGAAGAAATGCCACTCAAGACAGAGGTGGAAGAGTATATCACACTGTCTCATACATATTGTTGGGTGTTGGTTCTCAAACTAATGTCTTCTTGTTACCTTGCTGGATTCCTCGAGTTGAGTGCCTCGTTTCCAGGCCTCAGAAAACATGGAGCTGACGATACTTTGGGAACGGACATGTCCAGCTGGCTGGGTGTCAGAAACTCCACTGTCAGACTGATTAGAATGATTTGATTGAGATTCTGTTCAGAAAAAAAGTTAAGAAACAGTTAGTGTATGTTTCTGAATGTAAGAGTAACATCCTACACTTATAATGCAACTCTTCGTGGCATTTCTTGGTCATACTTCTTAAACATGTTATCCCACCAAAGGACATTGCTCCCAGTAACTACTGCATAAGCTCTAGCTCATGTCCAGGCTGTTAGTGTCTGGGAAACAAACCACTGCAGCAGATCCTTGGCATTAACCAAATCTGAAGCTGCACAAAGACAACAGCATGTCAGATATGCTTCGAAGTAAAAACACACTGCAGTTGTATTGGCTCTGGAACATCCAACAGCTCCTGCACTTAGGGAAAATCCCCATTTCATGCAGTGCATGCAGTCTGTTCTCTCCAGCACTCCTTCCCAACACAACCTAAGAAACAGACACTGGACATAGGCTGAGGACAGGCAAACTACCATAGCCAAGGAAGAGACTGCTTATGACTGCCCATTCCTCAACAGAAGAGAAGGAATGAAGTGCATTCTGTAACTCACAAACACAGATGATGCTCTGGGCTCACAAGGTGTCTTGAAAAGACAGCAGCAGCCAGTACCAGACAGCTTTATTCAGCCTGGCACCTGCTCTCTGTGTAATCCCAAACTGCCCTGAGAAAAAAGAGCATTTAGGCACAGGCTGGAATGCAGCTCTGGCAGGACATGCATGGCTGGTGGGCTGTGGCTCAGCTCCCTGCACGAAGATGTCTATACACTATTAAAAGAACATCTAGCTTGGATGGAGAAATTGTCAGTAACCAAGAACTTACTGCTACACTGGCAAGCTGTGCCACACAGCTGAAAGAACATGACGCCCTCCCAGTTAGGCTGAATTTGCTTAGCTCGTTCTCACAGGTTACTTTCTGAACCTGTCCAACTCTGCAGCATTACTTCCTGACTTGTATCTGTGATGGACAAAACACTTTTACACAACAGCACATTTTCAGTAATGAATCTGGCCCCTGAGGATTCAGAAGAACCTGGCAAAATAGCAGTCAGCTCTGAACAGTGAAATGAGACTATATAAACCATTCATCAACTTTTCAACTGTTATGTGCTACATAAAGCCAGTCCTGTCCTGATGAGAGGTAAACAGGAGCACATTACTGCAGGCATGCACAGTTTGACCTAGGAACAGAAACAGTACTTTCAAAGTTTGCTTCTAAAGAGATTATTTCAATGTTTGCCTTTGGGCAAGGACTATTTCTCATTTTCCAATTTCAAATATTTCAGTCAACAAAAGCAGTTTAAAAGCTACACAGGTGTGCTCTGTGCCTCATTACAACATAAATTGGATTTTTCAAATAGAGGTATCAGGAATTTGTAATGGCATTTCCTCTTCTCAGTATCAAAAAAAATTTTTGGAGGTAAGCAAGAAGGTGCCAAATACTTCAAATACATACTCCACTGCAAGCAAAAGGTTTTTATGCACATGTGCATATATATGTTACACCAATTCTATGTTTTAGACTAAACATAGCATAAGAGACTTTGGAGAAACAGTCCATTTCCTGTAACAATCTCTCTTGAGGTGTCCAGACAGTAGAAGATAAGAAAGGTAATTAAATCTTTGTATTATGGGATAGATCACATGATTACCTGGCAAACTAGATGAGCTGGAGCCTGACTTGATACTGGAGCTAGACAAGGAAGTCCAGTCATACGCCGATTCTGTTCTCTTCAATGCTTCCTGATAGTTCATGTATAGCTGCTTCCCATACTAAGCAAAATGACAAAAAAATTAAACAACTCCATATAACTGTGCATCCTCTTCAGACTGTTGAGCTACACCTCTGGCTTCTCTATTGCACCTATTTTTCCCCCACAGAGCAACAACAGGCTCTCTGCTAAGGAGCTCAGACAAAATTAGTTTTTTTTTAATTAGCAAAATAAAGAAAGCTGAAAGAAAGAAAAACAGTTTATTTATGCTATAAGTGTCAAGCAAGAAATGAGCCAATGAATAAACTAAGCCAAGCTGGGGATCTTAGAAAACAACTCTGTTTTCAAAGTTCTCTTTCCCCATAAGCCTTCTTTCTAACATTTGTAAGAGTGTTGGCTAAAATCTATTCATGATCTATGTCAGTTAGAATTCCATGTGACAGGGGTGCAGCAGAAACAAGAAATGGCCCAATTACTGAGTTATTCTAACAACAAAGCCTAATAATTTTGCTAGAGAATGAAATATGTAGGAAGATTGTACAATTCAAGTTCAAAACAGTTAAGGCAGAGAGAAGTTACATTTAACATGTATTTTGCTAAATAACTGTAAATAGTTTTAAACAGGTGATGACAATCACGCATGACAACAGTGCCAGACTGCCTAGAGGTTACCTTAGCAATGCGGATGCCATTGATCCATTGGTGTAGAGTTCTTACATCATCACAGCAAAGATACTTGATATACTGGGATTTCTTCTGGATCTGAGGATGCTGCAGAAAAATTGTTAATCCTCATCAATATTTTAAGCGCTAGGAACGCAAGGGAAGCCATTTACTTGTTGAGGTCTACACAGACAAACTTTATGCTGGAAGCTTTCCAACAGTAGCCTGTATTAGAGCCCACATAAAAATGTTTCAGAGTATTACAGGAGGTGAATTTCAGTGGGGAATTTCACACACATTGGCAGTGTGTCCAGCATGCAATGATTGCAGGTTTGAAACGCTAAGGCAGGCTAAATCTTTCATTATTTTAGGGCTTTAGTACCTTCTACCTACTAACAGTCTTCCGAACCTATGGATTAACTCACCACTTGAGGGAGACAAGTGATATTTCACCTTTCTTTCACATCAAAACAGATTAGAGGAAAACAAACACACTGGTCTTCTCTGCCTTTGCATGGCTCAAGGGAGACACTCCCTAAATGACATGTTGTTAGGTATAATTTCATTTCCAGCCTGTAGAGCCTTCACGGTTCCCACCCTACTGATCCATACAGGGCTATCATCTAAAATACTTTGTGCTCCCATATGCATGTATAAAAAGGCACCGTATTTATCAACTTAGCAGTTAAGAAAAAAAATTCATATCTTTCAAAGATCAGACACTGGAAATCATTCTGGATGGATTACTCAGTTGTTTCCTGTCCATGCTGTAGAAGTTACATGTCTCACAGCTGTTGGGGCAACTCTGATTACTCAAGTTCTTATCATTTTCTGCATTAGCTTACAGTTCAGTGTCACAGAGTTTTGCTAGATGATCAGAGGTATTTAAGTTTTACTGAAGACTCTCTGAAACATATCAAAGAGCTTTTAATCTCTTTTCAGAGTATTTTATCCTGTTGTCTTTCAACACAATTATTTCAAAATGAACATAACATCTCTATCAAGAGAATATATGTAACGAACTTCCTTGTCATATTAGATAATTGTAATAATCTTTTACTACCAGCCTCTTTCACATACATGTCGTATAACAAAGAAGAGTCTATAGAAGCACAAATAATTACTTGACTAACAAGACAGCTTCTTCCAGGACTAGTTCAAAAATCTGGTTATATAGAAATAAAAGAATCTCTCAGAAATCTAACATTTAGGACTAAGGAGTTAAATACAACATTTGTGTGCTAGTATATAATACTAACAACAGCACAGCACCTGCTCTGGCATAAACAAAGGAAGGTAACATGTAAAGACAAATCCAGTCCAGACCCCAGTAAGAATCGGCCTTTGGTTTGTATTTGCCACTCAGCTCTCCCATAACATGTTATGTTTGTGTTTTGGGAGATACTTCCCAGCTTAGTGAACCTTTGTGGCACAAAACTGTGTTTCTATTAAAAAAAAAAAAAAAGGAAGTGTGGGTGCTATACATTCATACTAACATAAAACAATGACGTAACATTACAAAAGCACGATCCTGCTTAATACAATTTGATGAATCATTGGTTCCAACTGAAAACAAAGTTTCACTTCATGTAAGTTGCAGAATGAACTCTACCCCATTAATTTACTTAAAGGGACAATTTAGACATATTAAGTTTGATTAACATTTTTGTGTATTCATTTATGCTCAGAAATGAGCATAAATGAACTTTAAAAAAAATTCTACTTAGTCTGTTTTATTCTCTGCGGTCAACAAGTCTGAAGAAAGAATTCACTATTAACCTGTCCAAATTATGTGGATAGAAAGTGACATTTAAGCAGAAGTAATCAATTTACTTCAAGAAATTTTTAAATACCTATAAACACTGACATTTTTGGCTGCATTCGAGTAACTGCACCAGTGACTTATAAGAACGTGGAAAACTTCTCCATTAATATCATGTCCCATATATAATATTCAGTGTCTACGTCTTGGTGGGCCCAAGTACATGCTGCCCTGTCTACTGGAAGATGAAATCCCTTTTTTAGGCAGTGGACAGGCAGCCACACACTCCAGGTACATAAAACATTCTAATGGACTGATATACACAACACCACATGAGCTACAGATCAGGGGAGGGGAAAGTGCAACTGTAACGACCTCTTTGTACTGTCACCATTTTCAAATCCATGGAGACACTTTACTTGATGTGAACACAGTGTGAAAACCTGTTTTAAAATAGCTTTGTACCTACCTATCTTGCAGGAACTGGCACCATTCTGAACACTGCGTGGGGAGTCAAGAGAAACTGGGGAATGTGTTGATGCAATTAAAATAACTTGATGTACTAAAGATATTAACTTCACAGTTTAAGATCAGGTCACTGTTTTTTTAACATTTTTTTGCTACTTGTTCTTTCTACCTGTAATTTATACTCAGAAATTTCTTCCTTTACAGCATCCCCTTTTCCTCAGGTTGGGCAATAAGGGTAGACTAATATCAGCTTCTGCACAACTCTGGACCTACACCTTGAGAAGGCAGCAACCGCCTAAAGTTAGCACTTTGAGAGGTATTTTCTCAATGAACCTAATTTGTTGTCAGGCATAAAGTTGCAAATAGGAAACGAAGAGTTTAGTGTATGCTTTCTAGTATGACAAACAACGACAGACTGGCACTCAGCAGTGGAAATAAAACAATTCAAGTCAATATGAAAATGTTCATGAAGTCATGAGGAGCACTGAGAAGAGGCAACAACTGTTCATGTCATATACAAGAACTAGAGAAAAATGAAATGTAAAGCAACTAATGGTTTAGAACAAGTAGAAGTGTGTTCAAGGTATACCCAACTGCTGCAGTGTTACCTTTAGCACTAAACAGTAGTCTGTGGGTGCTTTGTATTTGTTCCGATAGTCCTGTCCATAGTAAACACTGACATGGTCTAGCTGCAGAAAGCACACAAGATCCCGTGACACCTGTTACAGACAAAAATAATGATGTACAGATATCTCTATAAGAAATCCACATACATTGACAAAACCAATCTAATGTTAATATCAATACTAATATAAGGTCTAGTTATGGTCAAATACTTCAATCTGATTCAAAAACTACCAATACAAGAAGGAGATACAGCCATGCATAAACTCTTGCATTGGATGTTAATTTTTAACCAGGACATCCTTTTTGCAAATTCAATCTGGTTTTGTCTGCATTTTGCCTTTTAAAAACATTTTACACCAGACTACTAATGCTCACTCAGAGCAGGTATCAGGAGAAAGTAAATATGACTGGATGATCAGGAAGTTAAGAGCTGTTGGTTACATTTCATCTTGAGAATAATCAAGGTGTCCAAATTCCAGTGTGCCTGTGAGTAGAGTTCTCAAGATGTTTGGCAGTGATTGTAGGGCACAGGATTCAACAGGCTATTTTGTATACAGATTGTCTTAATGAAGTAAAAGGCTGTGGAAAGAAAATCTGATGTATTCAGCTCTAAAGGGAGCTGATACACTGACAGAGATTTCTTCGTCATTGCTAACTGTATGGGAGGTGGACTTCCCGTACTGGGAATAAGTTGATGCTGTCGGGACTGATGGATTCATGGACAACTTGAACTCATAGTAGTTCAGCCTTGAAGCTATAATGTATTTGTAGCAGCTTTCTATTTACTTTTCGTTATTGATACACACAGAACAGCAGTAAGTGACACTGAAGAAATGGTATTATATTTACCATGTTCAAGAAACGCACTATCAACTGGTCCAGTAAGAATCCCATTTATATGAACTAACTAAACCCAAAGAAATTTTCCAGCCTAATTGTGGAGCTGGTCTGATACTTCATGATTGGCATTTGCAGTTCAATTTGGTCCTCTATCTGAATTCTGCTTGAGAAAAGGTAGCTTCTTAGCTCCACCAAGAATTTTTCAAGTTTTTCTGAACACCTAACCCTGAACTCACTCAAAAAAGCAGACCCTTGTCTTCTTATATTTTTAGATTTGGGGTTCCACCCCTTGCATGCAATGCTGCCAAAGTAATTTACACAGTATTTCCAGGATAAAGCCAGCCTTTTAATTAAGGGATGTGGCACTAGGCAAGGCACAGCTAAGCCATAATTTAAAGCTGACTCTTACGCACACTATTTACCAGCAATAAACAATGCAGGGAAATTGCTTTAAAACAGCATACCTTTGCCTTCCCTTTAGGGACATAGTAGATTCCAGAAGCTCGAAGAAGAAAGTAACGTTTCTTCCAAGACTTCTTACCATCCTCTTTCAGCCACAGAACTCCTTCAATCTCTGGCACAGTTACAGAACTTCCACAGAAACATTCCTGATGATAAACACAGTGGTTTGGGAAACAGATAAAACACAGAGCATGCAGTGCTTTGTTTTGAATGACTGAAATACTTTGATCTAAGGAATGCACAAATAACAGGCACGGATCCTTTTTTCACACAGTGATATGTACTGCAGATTAATCATAGAAGCAATAAGGTAACTCAGACAAGCACTACAGAGCACCTTAGCATTTGCTCAGTGCAACAGTGACAAAAAAACCCCACTAGCAGCTACTGTAAAGATTTTCTAGCCACTGCTTATCAGTAACAGATCCCCCAATGGCTTTAGTGGCTTTAAGGTCACGAGGTCACATTATAGATAGAGTCACATATGGGTAAGCACACACAAAACCTAATTGCCCATCCATCAGATACAGCTATAATTCATTTCAAGAATACTTTGTTGCTACTAACTGCCAACAACACTACAATTTCTATTGAGGTTCTATTTATGAAGAGCTAACAGGGAAAAACAAATGCTTTAAATACACCCCAGATTAATATGCAGCACAGAGACTCATGACTAATCCTACTAGACAGAAAGAATTAGGTAGAATTACAACTCTCTGCATGCCATGGCTTCAAGCATCTTTTTGATCCACAGTATACATGCGAGCACTTATTAAAACCCATGTTAACAATATACTAAGAACATGCATATGCTACTTGTAAGTTAAAGTGCATCATAGAATCAACCTGGTTGAAAGAGACCTCAAAGATCACTGAGTCCAGCCCTACTGTGGTTACTAGGCCATGGCACTAAGTGCCATATCCAGTCTTGTCTTGAAAACCTCCAGGGATGGTGAATCCACCATCTCCCTGGGCAGCACATTCCAATGCCTGATTACTCTCCCTGTAAAAAATCTCTTCCTAATATCCAACCTAAACCTCCCCTGGCAGAGCTTGAGTCTGTGCCCTCTTGTCCTACTGCTGGTTGCCTGGGAGAAGAGACCAACCCCTACCTGACTACAACCTCCTTTCAGGGAGTTGTAGAGGGTGATAAGGTCTCCCCTGAGCCTCCTCTTCTCCAGGCTAAACAACCCCAGCTCCCTCAGCCTCTCCTCATAGCACATGTGCTCAAGTTGCTCCACCAGCCTTGTTGCTCTAAGTATTTAATTTTAATTTTGGATTAAATCAAGTTTAATCCAAAATTAAATACCAAAAATATTTACTTTTGTGTAACTATGTAAGTCATGATCATTATTCCGAAATCAAGTAGAAGCTGTGGCATTTCAGCCATGCCACAAAAACATGTGGTTTTCTGCTTATGGAGGCTCTGTTACTGTTTGTTTTATTTGCTTCACACGTTTTTTGTTCTTAGTTCTGTAAAGTGCTTAATGTGTTCGATAGAATTACTTTTCTGTCACTCATTTTTTAAAATTTCATATTTGGCTTTTATTTTAAAATCTAACTAAAACCATTCTTAACTACTTTGATTACACACAAAATTTGAAATATTAACTCAGATGAGTCACTAAACCAATGCTCTAGTACTCTGTAGAAAATAAGAAATTGGAAAGTACTAGTAAAAAAAAAAATCTCTGTCACCACAGGTCAAAAAAACCTGGGGACAGTTGTGCAAATTTCAACTGGTTCAAGCCATAGTTACAGGCAATCTCATTTTGATTATCACTGTGTATGGTATTTTAGTTATTAAACTAAATAGAGAAACATTTTATTAAATGATCACATCTGAAACAGAGTAATATTAAAAGAGCCATTTAGCTCCAATGTAACACATTCCATTCCCAGTTTTCCAGAATTACATTCAGCAACATCCACCAATTTCAATCACCACAACCTTTTAAGAGTTTAGTTTGCAGCTCTGAAATGACCTCTAAGACCTTTTTTGATCTGGCAGTCTTACCTCTAGCAGCACCTCTTTATTTCTGTCTGCCATCTCAGAGGTTTCTTTCTTCCCCAGCAGATAGTTCTGTAACAAAAAAACCCTTAGTATTTATTTCTATAGGCATTCTGAAATCAAGCCAAGTAACACTTTTTGTTTACCTTTCTGTGGCAGTAAGAAAAAAACAGCTGTTAACTATGAACAATGAGCTAATAGAACAGAACTTTGTAGTCTAATTGAAACTGTCAGACTGCTAAATAATACATTGAACTAAGTTATAATCACCTTTATCAGAAGTAAAAATCAGTCCATACTCCTATGTTAACAGCCTCACGACTTTATCCTGACTTTCCACAAATCAAACAGATGTATTGTTACCATGCATCCAGAAATAAAAATACTGTGAACTTGGAAATCCCACAATAAAAACACAAAAAGACCCCAGAGATCTTTGAACTTGCTATGTGCTGCCATTATTTGCACCCGTGCCGTACAAAGAAGCACACATAGAAGTAAGGAACTTCTTGCTACCTTGCAATGACAGTTTTGCTGAATAAAAGTATCTCTTTTTCATGAAGAATCACTAAATAAAATACTTCTTGTCCTCTCAAAAGGAACCAAATTATGCATAAGTACCCTATCTTATTGATTAAGTTTTGTACTCTTAGTCAGTTTGGAAAAGACTGCGATAATGAAAAACATCATCTTTCTAACCCCTAGCTTTAATACTGGAAGAAACTCAATATTCACCAAGTTTAGCCAGTTCAATATTTTAAACCAAAGAGAAATACTTGGTTTATGCTGGTATCTCATTCTTGTTGGCAGTGCCTACCATTTGTACTGACAGGAAACGCATCAACTACAAGCTTTTAAAAAGAACGTAGTTTCACTGCCTCAGCTTAAAGCACTTGCAATTAGACCTTGCTTTCAGCTCTTGCTTTAAAAAAAGAAATGTAAAATCAAGCACACTGATGCTGTCCCAAAGGATGAGGATGCAGAACTGATAACCAGCTTAAATCCAAGGAATTAGCACATAGCTGCCACACAGATACACAATTAATCTATAACCCCAACAGGGAATTCATTAGCTAAGAGTTAAGAGAGAGATCAAGTGATAGTATATCCAGTTCTTTGCAATTCAAATTCTTCAAAGAGCCACCTTCTGCTTTTCTGTTTCTTTTCATCCACTCCTTTACAAGACTGAACTGCTGCCAGACAACAAATCGGTAGCTACTGTTTGAGAGAAGAGAGGTCCTTGGGGCCACTTGAGAGAGAAGAGGGGCCTTTGGTTGCCTAGCCAGGGAACAGGAAACACAGGTGAATATAGGCAGGTCCTAACTTCCACAGGAGTGACACATGCTCTCTTCTCTTCACTTGCCATTTGGCCATGGCACAGCCATTCTCTTAGATTCTGTCTTCCACTTCTCGCCAGCAGCGTAAGAACGCACAGTGGAGAGGCATTACTATTAGCAATACCTGTCAGCACCTGTCTTGTATATTTACATATTTGAGCAGCACCAAGTATTTCTGTAAATCCCCTGAAACTGCCTGTCTTCATCTCCATTACAACTACACACACACATATTAGCAAACAGATTGCTTCAGCTCATGGTTATCTGCAAGAGACTTGATTCTGTGCCAACACCACTGTGGATGTACAGGGTACCTAATTGTAAAGTTGCCTGGCATTTTAACACATAACCAAGTATCCAAATGGAAGTATGGAAATTAACACTACCAAATAAAGAAGCTGCAGTCAGTCACACACAAAGCCAACATGAATCTCAGGCTTACCTGTGGGTTCTTGAAAAGTGCGTATTTCTCAATACGTTCCACAAACATTAGTTTGTTTTGACTATCTCTTGTCCAGTTCAGGAGATTTTCAACTAAATTTTCATGGTCTTCAAAGATCCTTTCTGCAGCAACAACAAGACAGCAAATACTTTCAAATCTGTCATGTTTTGTGACAAAAACTAATCTGTACTCATATCTAGGAGACAAGGCATATATGCAGAGAAAATAGAGTTCAAGGTACAATGGGGAAGAAGTTTATGAGAAGAAACTGAAAGAACTTAAGACAACTTTCAGACATACAGTCACTCAACACAGCCTTCCATCTCTTCAGGCTTACAGTTCCATTAAATATATGAAGTGTTTTTATTTCTTTTTAACTTGACAAAGTCTACCATCCTACATGAACACTGCAGGCTCAAATGACATTTCAAATTTGATGAGCACAAGTAAGAAGGTTATCACACATTTTCAGCAACATTTTCATCACAGAACTTGTTTCCCCAATCACTATCTCACCCATAAAGTATCAAAAAAGTAATGGACAACGATCAGAGGGAAAACAAAATACTTCTGAAATGCAGAATAGCCATGATTAGTAGGCGTATTGTAAAGAAATCTGTAAAGTGACACTGTCTACTTCTTACAATCTCCTTTGCTGAATAAATGATGTCTCAAGAATGGCTTCTGAGAACTCTGTGCTTTGACCCTGTTGAAATAGCCATAACTAGATACAGAATACTGAAAATAGACAAATGAGAATAGGGTAAGGAAAAACAGGAAAATTTACTGACATGGTAGAAAAATAGCTGAAAATTCTAATTCTAAAATAAATATGGATGAAGACATCTTTGGGAAAACCACTAGATCAAGTTTCTCCTCCTTTCAAAGACACTGAAGTACAAACTAGCTTTCTGCAATTTGCTCCCTCTTCAGATAGGCCACACAGTAGCATTTCAGCAAATTAATTTTTTCAGAATCCTTTGGGACTTGCCCGGCCTTTCACCTGAAAGCAGAACATGATTCTTTTCGCACAAAATTAATTTCATCACATTTTTACAAAGGTTATATGGCACACATCATATCCCAACCTAGAAGCTAATGCTAATGAAGACTCAAATGACAGATCTTGGTGTGAGTGCAACAAAATGTCATCTGTAGGGAACGAATTAAGGTTTCAGATGACAACACAACGTTACTGAGGTCTTGGTGAGATCTTTCTAAGAAGCTTTTGAATTACAATTCATGACTTTCACATCAAGCTCTATCACCAACCCAGCAACACTGCCTCAAGAAAGTAAATAAGGCATTATCTAATGAAAGAACAGAATGAAAAAGCTTTTGACGACCATGATATAAAAGCTGAAATCCCACTGCAGCCTCATTAGTGAAACTGGATAGCTTTCAAAATGCATCAGCTGTCATTTCAAGCATACATTTTATTAAAATTTTAAGGTTTTGAGCCTCATGTTATTTTTCACATGATAGGCTGAAGATTCAAATACCCTGTCACCCCACAACCACCTGGGTTTTTTCCTAACAACAAGCAATGTTAACATGCTATGCTACCTGAAAAAGAAAACGTTCCACTAAAAGAGAAAGAGGAAATATTAACATTCATTGTAATTTGGAATCAAGTCATTTGGGTTCGGTTCTGTGCTTTTCTTTAATCAAAAGTTAATGGATAAGGTGCACTTTACCCATTCAGATGCTATATCCTTTGGCTCAATGAGCAACTTACATTGTGGTATGTGCAATGCAGCACAAAGGAGCTTTAACTGTTCTTAGACGAATATTGCTAATTGCATTAAAATATTTAACAGGGAAAAAATGTAGCCAATTTTGCAATAAAAGCTACTAGGACCAGTTCAAAATACTATTTACAAAGAGGAAAACACACAGTGAGTTTTTGATCCCTTATCTCTTTCTTCTGTAAGGAACACATCAAAACCAAGAGGCTCAGTGACTAAACATTAGTAAAATGGCTATATCACATCACAGAATCCAGCCATGCTTTTAACATGAGAGAAGAAGTAATTTCCAGGTCATTCTGAAACAATGTCAATCATGAGCTTTATTACATGGATTAGCATTTACCACATTAATTAACAAGATGAATAACATGATGAAGGGAAGTATTTAACTCATTCTGAGGACAGAGACAACTGTTGCATCAATAGATAAAAATTATAAATAATTATAATTATTACTTACCCATTTGCAGTTCAGAGATGGTTTCCACCAATGACCAGTCTAAACTGTAGCCACAATGTGATTTGTCCATCAGGTTGTCTAATACTTGTCTCACTGTCTGCCTCTCATCCACCATCATTGTTTTTGAGCTGTCATCAGACATATGGACTCTGATCACCAACTATTAAGCAGAAAATCAGGAAAACAAGAAGAATTATGAATTTACCACATTTCAAATAAAAATATTGGTTTTAAGATCTTGTTTATTCTTCTAAGATTTTCTTAAAATAGCACAAAATACTAAGTTCAATCAAAACACTCCCTCAAAATATAAGAAGCCATAAATGATGGTTAGATATCTGGATCTTCAATGCTTAACAAGATAACTGTTCTCCTTCAGTATTAAAGAGCAAATATAAAGGTCTTTCCAACACAATAACAATGTGCTTTAGTTGTGTGTTAGAGAGGAAAAAATCCCTCCTGCTAAGATGTCCTGTTCTGATTAATAAAGTGTCTTTGAGACAGTTTTTCTCACATATTTAGGTGAAACAAACATAGATAGAGTTCTGCACAAGCTTTCAGATTTGCAATTCAAGCTTTCTGCCTCCTTCCTCTGTATTTTCTAAAAATGGTGATTATGTAAACAATATATCTATACTACACTAAATCTTATTTTTCTGGGGAGTATGAAGCAGTAATGAGAAAGAAAAAGATCTGCTTTTAAAACACAGTGGCTTTTCATTGGCATTTTAAAGAGGTCACTGCCCAGAAACAAAAATCCAGTCATGTTTTTAACCCATCAAAAAACCTAAGACAACAGATGTTTTTTGCCATCATTATACTTCCGGTTTTACATCTTGTTCAGCTGGAAAAGTTAAAGTCTCCTAGTTCTAATACACTGGTTGGCTTGTTAATTCCCATCTTCCAGACAAGACAGCTTTTCTGCTTCTGATCTATAAACACCTAATGTAAAAGGCATTTTAAGCTACTGAAAAACTCCAGTCCTAAAATAAGAATGCCAAATTTCAAGAGAACTCTGTACTTTTTGAGAGTTCATCTAGTAATGTCAGTAGACCTTCTCCACTTGGTAATCCCTGTCTTCTGTCTGGAATACTTGTCTTCCATTTATCACTGGAAAAATCCTGCTATGCAGAATGAGAAGGGGTTCATAAAGAAGACAGGCACAAAATTTAAATGACTAAGTGTAGAATATACAAGGACAAATCTCAGGAGGCTGAACCTTCATTTCAGTTCTGGGTGGAAGATGGCAAAGTCCTCTCAGATGTGCACTGGCTGCAAAATAAGCTATTCCTTAAGAAAAACGATGTTATTCCATATCCTAGGATTTTCTTTATTAGACCCACTCTAGATGGGAAAGCACATCACCACTCAAGACTAGAACATTACGTTGTGCCTATTTTATTTCGGGTAACTTAAGGGTAATAGACACAAATGAGAAGTTTGCCTGCATTTTCCAGGTGAAAAAGAATAAAATAAGAATCTTTAAAACTAATATAACTGACTTACCTTTTTCACTTGTGCCTCTTTAATTTTCTCTAATGCAACCCTAATCTTCTCAGCTTTGATTTTGGCAGCCTGTTCCTCCTAGGGGGACACAACACACACAATTCCAGTTAACACAAACTTCAGTCTGGTTTCCATGGATTTAACTTTGAGGTTACCGTGCTTCAAAACATGAACTGAAATGCTGATTTGCTCACCTATAAATCCCCAACTATTTCTTAGTGATGATGAAAACTATTATTTTTTTAAGACAAATAATGTTACTACCTCCTATTTAGAAATACAACTGCCATTACCTCCAGAAGAACATACTGGAGGTGTAAATTTTGTATAGACATATTAAACATTTCTTTCTTCTTCCGTACTGTAAATAGCCTTGTGCAGATAGAAATATTTGAGCATATCATATATTTACAGTCATAGGTTTGGACAACACATATTCAACAAGAGAGTGTACAATGGAGTACACCCAACAGATTTTTGGTTAATCAACATAAAACACAAATAGCACACTGAGAAGTATCAGAATTTAACAGCACACAGAAAGTATGGAAAACACATTCTATAAATAGGATTCCATGCTACGTGCATTAGTTTGAAAGATTTGAAACTATTAAATCAATTTGCAGTAAGATGGTTGAACACTCCTTTTATCGTTACTAAATCCAAGCTACATTTCTCCTTCCTTTCAGTATTTTAAGATACATAAAGCAAATCAGCATCTTTTATTTGATGTTCTTCTAAGTAATCTTTTCTTTAATAACTGGAAATGCATTAAAAACTCAGGTAACTTAAATCCATCTGCTGATGCTAAAGAAAACTGTGTATGGTAAGACCAGCAATACAGATTTTTAAATTCTGGAGATTATCAGTAATTCTGCTGAAACTGCATTTGAAACATGCAGCTGAACAAGCAACCTCTGTTTTTAAAATTACATATGCAGGTTTCAGACTTCCAAAACCTTATACTGTGGATGTTCATTGTGATTAATATCAAAAAAGCATCAGAATAATTTTAAAATGTTTAGCACAATAAAAAAATATATTACATAAACAAATCCCTTCCAAAAGAATCTCTTTCAAAAAGAAAAATTACGATTTTTCTCCAATCCAAAGTAGCACAGCCCCTCACAGCAACATTCAGCATGCCACAGACATTTGGTTTTCCATTGCTTTCTTGTGTGAATGTAACCTGTGGTTTCTTTACCATGTTTTCAGATGGTTGCCTTCCTTGTAAAAGACAAGATCCAGCTGCCCTGAAATCCACAGTTTAAGTTTTCTGCTCCCCAATGAGTTACTAATATTTGTATGAACTACTAAAGAACACTCCCTCCTTACTTGTTGCAGTTTACTTAGTAGCTTTTGGTCATTCACACCTGTGGCCATAATGTGCACCAGAAAAAGTCATCAGCTAGACAGGACTGTGCTGCCTTTTGGGAAACATATTTTTTTTAAATAAAATAAACCAGTTGGTTGACATGAGCTGAAATAATGCAAGCCTGAAACAGTATCTGGGAACTGAATTATCCAGGAACATAGCTTTTCCTAGTCCGCAGGGAGCTATGACTTTTCGTTCACAGTAACAATAGTGTCATACAGCTTCGAAAGGTTAAATCAGATTTGCATTCTATGAAAAACAAACTGTCATACCACCAAGAATCATTTATTCTTCTTATTCCTTAACACCAACCATTTCAATCTGTAGAAATGAACTATTACTAAAAAATAAGGCTATAAAGACTTTAAAGTTCCTAAAAGTGATGCTATGCACCTGTGCATTATGAAATCAGCAGAAGCAAAAGACTTTTTCTATTTTATCATACATTTGGTGAAACTAATTCATGGTTTAAAAAAGTTGCTCATGAACCCAACTATAAACCTTTAGTGCTGGACAAAGGTTGAGAGCACTTTTGGTTTTGCTCTTCATTGAAGTCAGGCAGCACAATTTTCCAGTCCATTTCACTGTACACCTGTGTGATGCAACTACCTATTGCAAACCCCAGCAGGAGCACTTCACAGGCAGCAACACGAGGGCAAGCAACAAAGAATCTGCTGGCAGCCTCTCCTACACCTGTACCAACAGCTAAAATACCTTTGGTGATCTCAAACTTTATAATCCATCCTCAAATGCTTTTAAAAATAACTATGTAGACATAAAAGGATTTTGAGGATTTATGATTTTAATCCCTACCAATTATTTTTCATTTCCTACTCAGTTTTAATGTGGGTCCAAAGATAGGATTTCTTATACTTTATTACAGTTTAGCAAAGTCAGTTTAAATTTAAAAACCTCCCAGAACTACATTTACCAAAATAAGGACCAGTTTCAATCAGCAACGAATTATAAAAATGGGTCTGAATCTACTCCTGGAAACACAGAGGAAAAGAAAGCAAGACCCACAAATTTCTCAAAGCATATGGTAGTCAAGGATTTTAAGCTATTCAAGTTTCACTTTATAGTTAGTGCTCAGGTCACTGGCTGCATCACTGCTGATGTGGTAAATGATGGTTCACTGGAGCAGAAGAAAGAACTATCTATTTTGATTACCTGATAAAATAATTTACTGATTGGAGAATTCTTCAAAACTCCCAGTAATTTATTCTATCTCTCCTAATGGCTCAAGAAAAGTCATCCCCTCCCCATCAAAGCCACCCCAAAACTGCACTTACACACAAACCCAAACTCTCTCTTCCCTTGCACTAGAAACCAGTGGGGGGAAGCATGTGCAACCCACCAGCTTGTACTAAGCTAATAGCCTTTTTTCACTGAATAGGGAGAAAGGTGACAGATGGCAAAAATAGCCAACTGCAACTGTAAACCATTTAACACCACAAACTAACCAGGCTGGGACACACAGTCCAACACACCTGACTCCCTTGCACAGCACTACTTCTCAGTTACAGCAGTCACAGTGCTCCTGTGGCCACGCAGACAATACGGTCACAGAGCTGGTCTGGATGAAAATTAGCACAGCAGAAAGATTCAGCAGAATGAACTCCTTGGTGAGCCCTGCCTTGATGGTCACAGACAGGCTTTGAAAAAGCATAAAGGAGATACATACATACACCCACTGCAGGAAAACACAAAACACGCAGGAGTGTCGTTTCCATCTCTGATAGGAAAAAGATATTCTCCTTCAGTAGCAGTACATCACTGTCATATTGCAACATAAATTCCTCACTTTAACAGGACTACTTTGGGAGTATTGTTACACTTTTTTTAAAGCTTTAAGCCAGGATTACTTTTGGTTATGGAAAACATTACACCTGATTTAAAGTATACTTGGCAACATAGTTATGTTTGTTAATTCAATATCCTAACATATTATGAACTAAAACAAAAAAAAGTCCATCTCTGCAACTCAATGGTAATAAATTAACACCTTTTTCTTTGCATTTTTACACCAGAACTCTGTTTTCAATAATTTTGGCCTACAGGGGAATATTGGAAAGAACAATACAAAAAATATATTTAAGATCTCCTTAATATAATGACAATCACAGTTCCCTGTCCCAGTTTCCAATCAAATACACAATTACAAAATATTTCAGCTGTGTTTTAACATCAAAAATGCAAGATGCATGCAATGACAGCTGACCTTGTTCAAATGATTTTGAGCCTCACATTTCTAGGCTGAGGTTTTATTTTTCTGTTTCATTTTACATTTTTAAATTGCAATTAACTGATCCCTTTAAGAGAGATAACAGGCAATGGGAAAAAAGAGGGGGGGAATCACTTAAGTAAGGTTATGGAACTTAGGAAAGCCAGAAATTAAATGGTAAGAGCTAAGTAACAAAGGCCACATTTCACCTAAGTTACCAGGGTAGATACGCAAATCACAAGATGCATAGAAGAAGTTTCTTCTTTTAGGTTTAGTATTAGAAATTTTTCTCTGAATTCTTTGTTTGAATGCGTATAAGAAGAGAACTAAATACACAGGTAGCACTGAATTCTGAAGGACCAGAAACAGGTATCCACTGTTTACTTTCCCAGCTACAGTCTAGTGTCAGATAAAAAGGCAATCACCTGTATTGCAAGGACTCTCCTTGCAGAACTTTTACTGAAACAGAGGTTCCTGTTACCCAAGAACACCGTATTAACTTCTCCATTTGTACACCTAACTTCAAGACATCTTTATGAGTCCCATGCTTCATGTATCTCAATCAGAACATTCACGTTAATAAAGCATTTTCTGTTGGTTGCTTTCATTTATTATTAGAAAGAACACTGATACAAATGGTACGGGATCAGCACTAGAAGGGGAAAACCAAATGTATGAATATTAAGAGCAGCTCTGCATTTCTTGATAAACTCATTAGGACAAGCAGAACACTCCTAGACCAAAAAAGTGTGTGACAATAGTGGCACAGTCCATTATAAACAGTGAACTTGTGTTTACAGCAGCAGTTCATGACCATTTTCAAAACATGTTTTATTACCTTTCTTCTCAAAATAACTCAGAATAACCTGCATCTGGGTAAAGCAGAAAGGGGAGCAAGATGACTCTCTCTCAAAGCTCACTGAATGTTAACGTATAGCAGCTATTTTCCTGATGACGGGTTCATCCTCCCTAATGTAGACTCACTATGCATTTCCTCCTTCTTCCTTCCCAGCTTCATACAGAGTTTTCTATACCTCTGGAACAGTCCTGACATTGTCACCATATTACATTATGTTACTAAATACAGAAATGCATGTAAAGCAGTAGTGTTGTTTTAGGAACTGTGTCTGAGAATTATTCACCTGAAAAGGTCTTAAATATTACAATGACACTGCACTGGGGTAGTGCCCTATTTCTCCTTTGTTCTACTTCTGTGCATCATCCACAAACCTTTTGCTATTAGAAGCCTAACTCAAACAGAAGATGGCATCTGAGTGGAAACTGGGAAACAGCAGTTACATTTTAAATACATCTCAGAGTCATACTAGCCCTTGTCTCAAGTTCCTACAGAAGGGATCTTCTTCCCCCCTATTAGGACAAAGAAGACCCCACCATATCACTAACAAAGATGTTGAAAAGACTTGGACCTGGTATTGACCTCTCAGGTGCACCACTGGTTAATGACTCCAACTAGACCTCGTGCCCTTTTGAAGGTATGCTCCAAGGTACAGCAGAACAGAATCTTAATCAGCAGAGACATACATTCTGCTGTCTCCCTGAAAGGCTACTCAAATTAGATTTGTCAAAGCTAGTAATGCTGAAGAAAAAATCCAAAGGAATTTCACTAGCTCTTTATCCCTTGAAGCAACCAATTGCATCACATTATCATCCTGCTTGCCTCTGAATAGGACCTGTCTTGTAACAGCTCTAGATCAGGCTTTTCACTGGGGCTACCTAGGCCAATTAGTTACAGAAGAAAAAGTACTAGGATCTGGGACCAGGGAAAAGCAAGAAAGGGGAAGGAAGAAACAAACAAACAAAACTGATCTAAGATACGTGAAATCA